GATTATAGTTATTAATGATACAAGTTCGATATGAACGCCATAATGAAACGCGTGTAACGTTTAGTTACACAAGTTTCATTAATAAAGTTCATATCGAACGTGTATCATTCAAAATTTAATCTACAATGGTCCAAATAGATTTGATTTGCCTTGAAATAGCAAAAACTTCTCAAATTAAAATTTGAAATTTAGCAGGTGCCCGTACTAGTCGAGAACCTGCTTGTTGGTTTTTAGAATTTTGACTTTGGCAGCTTCAATATTGGAGTCCATTTTTGTGCCATAAATTCAATTTTATAGTGGAAAATAATATTATAATTGGTGATTCTGAGTTCGAAAGTGTCTCTTCGAATATAGAGACAGCATTATTGAAAAGGTTCTTCTGGCAACTAACTTTCTTTTTGTATATTTTTCATTTCAAAATTTGGGTGTTATTATGAATTCTTAAACGCACTAGTGCTATTATGAAGGACCTAATGACATTCAAATGACAATGCTAAATGTGTCATAATGACACCGACGTAGATTAAGTCTTTAATATAATTCTCTGTAACCAACTGAAATTGAAATCTGCAGTTTTCTATACTGTTTTGGTTATAAAAATTAGAAATATTCTGATTTATTGGAGGTAGATTTTGAGTTACTTCAGAGAAATATTTATTAATTTTATTCACATCTTTTAGTTCTTGTGTCAGATTGAGTTTTTTAGATGGCTTACAAATATCTATTTTTTTCAATGGCAACACGAATATACTAAAATCACTTTCAAAATCATAACTAAAAATCCGCTCTACACTGCACGCCTATGACCTCCGTCAGAAATAAACAAATAAATTAAAGTGTCGGCGTCCCTGCCGTTTAATGACAGGATGGTATCCCCTAATGGCGGTGTGCGCAGAAAAGATGCGCGTGAGAGTTAGCCTGCTGATTGTTTTTGTATATGCTGTGGTTCGGGTCAAGCCAATGAACTATAACCAAAAACTGGAATGCTAACACATAAGGACGAACGTGATGCCTAGTGCGGCTGCTGCGGAGGGGATACCTGTTTTTGTCGCAGTCATTATGTTAAATGGCGAAAATTGCTTCCAACACGTATTCTAATTGATGAAACCCTTGAAGGGAAATATGACAAAACTTTCGAAAACGTCATATGTCAGCGAGCAACAGAAAAAAACAACATGCCCCCTTGTGGCATCTGTCTTTCATGGCTTCATTTTTTTGGCATATATGGCAATGTGTGCGCATTCCAGTTTTTAGCTATTAGACTATCCAAAACACGTGACACAAAAATGGCCGACAAGAGGCACACAAACATTTGACACAAACACAAACCATAACGTCATTAGGTTATGTCATTAATGATCATAATCAAATACTCATTGTCTATTGTATGCGTCTCAATTTTTGGCCGTTTCTACCCAATTACGGAATCCCTATTGTTTGGGCAAGATTGCTCTACCTACATTTCACTTGGACACCCAGGACCTACCCTTAAAATGTGAAAATATTTATTTGTTGCAACTCCACCGTCCAGTGTTGTGCTACCTACTTTAAATAATGGATACAGGAGCATCTACAGAAAGACGATGAAACAGCCAAGGAAGATTTATTACAATGAGAGGTTGGGCATCCGCATCCAATAAACAAAATGAGTAACGACCTACGCGAAAAAAAAAAAGAAATATACATATGTGCTTCCAATTTGAAAGCAGATAATATTAATTCATACTACCTACTGTACGATTGCTCAGAAACTGAGTATCAAAAATAGAAAATCTTCTGGATGGGACGATATCTCAGTTAGGCTGTTGATGTGTTGGCGGATTCCATTATTAATTATTTTCTTACCGGAAGTTTTCCCTCATTTTTGAAGCAATCTTGGGTAGTACCTTTGTTTAATAGGGGGGTGATAAGAATTTACCATCTTATTACCGGCCAATATCCTGACTGGCAACTTAGACTAAAATTGTAGAGTGGCTAATTAAGGTGGATGGTGAGCTTCCTTGATAGACATAAATTGCTTTCTCTGTCTCTGTTTCAGCAGTCAAAAAACACTGATGATGCCATATTTCATCTCCTGGATGAGCTGTATTAGAAGATAAATGACGAAGAAGTGGCCGCGGTAGTTTTTTGTGACCTGAAAAAAGCTTTCGATTGTGTCTGTCATGAAGTACTGCTTCTAGGGGTGCAGTACTTCAGAGGGGTTGGATATCACTGCAGGAGTGCCCTAGGGATCTGTTCTATTTCTAACATTAATAAAAATACGAGTAAAAAGAACGAGTATCAAAACGCAAATGAACAATGAGCACCATTTTTTTGAAAAAAATTTCATGACACATTGAATGACACATAAAAAAAGGGTTTGTGTGCCTCTTGGCGGCCATTTTAATTCAAGTTTGACAGCATCTTGGACAGTTCAATAGTTCGGGTCAAGCATTGGGTCAAGCACTGTGTTGTTTATTCTATATGTCATTGATTCTGTCACATTCTGGACAAACGTCAAGATGTGATTTATCGGATTTTGTGTTTTTTTGTGTGTTTAGGTATTGTGTTAATTAAAATGCCAGCGATTTGCATCGTAATTGGGTGTGGAAGTTGAGATAACAGGGCTAATGTGAAATTTTATTCAGTTCCTGCTATTTTAAATCATCGGCTTTTGATCTACAAAAGTGAATTATCAAAACAACGCAGGGCTTTATGGGTTGCTACAATTAAAAGAAAGGATCTAACAGAGGCTCGATTTTCCCCTAATAATACCTTAAGATATTCACTCTCCATCTCAGAATTTATTATTAAATTAAAAAAATACGTAGAAACATTATAAACACTATAAAATTCACTTTGTAAACAAGGGCCAGAACACTAAAAAATACGTAGACATACTAAAAACTATAAAATTCACTATGAAAACAACAATATGACCAAAACCAATGGAAAATACGTAGAAATACATAAAATTCACTTCGAAAGCAACAAGGGCCACAACATGCTCTCCTTATAAACGTCACCGGCTTGTCACCGCAATATTTGACCCGAACGGCCATTATAAAATCACGTGATTGAGATTGCCTAACTAAGAACAATTAAGGGCGCGTTTGGGTTGACGATCGGTGCACTCAGAGTGTGCACTTTTGTCTCTCTTCCGTTATTTTTGAAGCTCCGACAACGCTTGATTGTGTTTTGTTTGACATATTTTGAGCGCTCCGAGCGAGCTCGATAAACTCCGAGTTTGTGGAGTGGGCAGCTGGAGCGTGCATGCGCAGATCAAATGTGTTTACTTTTAATTGAATTTTCTCGGTAGTCATCATTACTGGCATTATTGAACATATTTTTCCAAGGGAACTTGGCAGCCTCAGAGTGTTTAGGTCCATTTTATTGTTTATGTAGCACGATATTTTTAGCAGAACACAAAAGAAAATGGGGCTGTTTGAAAATTATCGACTAAAATAAAAAATAAACGAGAAAACTCTGGTGCGAATGCGGAGTGCGGGCTCGGACTCCAAAAAATATTTCCTAAAAAAAATAAACAATAATCAGCTGATCGCTCAACTGAGCACTTTTGCACGAGTTTATTTGGCTTGACACGGTGTACCCCCTATGATGTCACGTTACTCCTTAATCGCTCTGCTCGCTCCGCCGAGCGTCAACCCAAACACGCCCTTATGTTCTTGTGACATTTCAAATGTTACAATTTGCGTTCCCTAAGTAACCGGAATTTTCAGTAACCATCTGTCAACTGATTCGGTTACTTTGGTTAACGGTTGGTTATATTCGGACCATAGCCTAAATTTCAATTTCAATTTACTTTGCAAGACACTCACTTTTTGACAGAATTCAGGGATTTATTATTCCAAATATTAAGAAATAATGGTGAACCTGATACTGCCTTATTCTTTTCTGGGTACCTACTCTACATAAAGATCACTGTTTGGAGTCTGAATCAGCTGGAGTGACGTCACCCCAGCAATCTATCCTCTTCCTGGATACAGGAAACAACACGAAGCGTTCCAGTTCACGAAAGTGAAACCCCAACACCCATTGACGAGCTCTGGATTGGAAAGGTACTTGGTACCAGATTCACCAGGAAAAACCAAGCTGTTAACACTGAAATTTTACAGAGAACATTGTAAACAAAATAAAATTATTGTTTTTTGGATTTTGAGTGGTTTCATTTGCACATAAAGGGACTACACGTTATCTTAATTTTTTGAATTCCACAACCCTAGCTTATCTTGTCTTAAAGTAACAAATCCAAATTATTTGTAACAATACAAACATGATAATGACACTATAATTGCTTCCCCAAACTCTCACTTCTAAGGTTCAAATGCTCTCTGCTCTTCCTCTTAAGGGCACCATACACTACGATGAAACACGACGGTTTTCACCGCCACGATGAAACACGTCGTTCTAAAACCGAAGTGTGTAATAGAAAAACACGACGGTTTTCTACAGGGCCCCACAGACTACGATAAAACACGACGGTTTTCATCGCCACGATGAAATACGTCGTTCCAAAACCGAAGTGTGTGGTAGAAAACCGCCGTGTTTCATTGTCGGTTTAGAATTCAGTCCGAGCTTGATTTTTGGCACGACGGTTCAACATTTCGTACACACTTCGGTTTTGGAACGACGTATTTCATCGTGACGGTGAAAACCGTCGTGTTTCATCGTAGTGTATGGGGCCCTGTAGAAAACCGTCGTGTTTTTCTATTACACACTTCGGTTTTAGAAGGACGTGTTTCATCGTGGCGGTGAAAACCGTCGTGTTTCATCGTAGTGTATGGGGCCTTTTATTTTCATTCTTAAACGGCTTCCCTCTTTTCCACAACCACCATGCGCTCTCCTAGAAAACACCTCATCCTTACCACATCGAAACCCCTTGATATTATATAGATACTAGTCGGTGGAGTTAGGAGTGGTGGTTGTGGATAAGCGAGGGGATGTTTCAGAATGAAATTCAAAAATATGTATGGGTTTTTGGTAGGAAAGAGAGTGGAGGGTGTGAATGAGGGAAGGGGGTTTTTGATAGGGAAGAGAGAGTGGTGGTGGGTGTTTCAGCGAAAACTAAAAGTAGGAGTGTGGAGAAGAATAGGTGAATTAGAGGTAGGCAGAACAATTATTTCCACAGCAGCTTAACTATGGAGCTTTTTTCTACTTATAGGAACAGATATGTATCTAGATAATTAAACATCACCTATATGGTGCATTCTTATAAAATATAAAATAATATTAACAGTATTTCGAACAAAACTCTAACTAAACTGTACCAGTGCTATAAAATAAGTAGCCGATGTTGCAATAACAGATAAAATGGTTGATCGTTTGATTTCGAAAAAATCTGCTGCGGTAAACCGTATTCCAGTGCTGGCTATATAAATTCCAAACGAATCCAGTACTTGGTACTCATGGGAACGGTAATCAAATTTGTCTTGCAGCTCATAACAGGTACTCCGAAGTTTGTCCGCTTCAGCAGTAACCATTCCACATGTGAGTGCCAGGGCACATGGACCGACCTGAAAGCAATTCTTTTATAATATAATAGAAAGTTTTTAGTTAGTCAAAAAAAAACTAAAATAAATGAAATATGTCCAGGGTGTTCTCCTATATTTCAACTCGATATTTCTACTTGAAACATACAGAGTTGAAAAGCAATTTAAATACAAAGTTGTAGAATCCATAGATTAGAATCTTTCCCAATTTCCTAATTCGCCAGTATAGTATAATTATTTAGTTTATTACTCTATTTAGGTATAAGCGAAGCTGCTGCCACAGGTTTTACCTAAAAAAAAAATAATACTTACTCATATTTCATTGGAAACTTCTTTCCCTTAATACGTGTGGTTATTGGTTCTCTGAATTAGACTATTACTTTGCAATCTACAGAGTGAATATACTTAGATGTATTGTATAATGCGACATGCAACCAGTTAAAAAACAAATAAATAACCTGTTTTTTGTGGCAGAAATAATCACTTCTAGAAAAGACGAAAGACTTCAAGTCATTCCTTAATTTAAAGATAAGTTCGGTAGAGATTTATAGATACCGTACTGTCTATACAGACAGGAAGATTTTTTAAATGTCAGTAAGATACAGTAACAGTGGTTTCAAAGATAAGCACGATAATAGACCATAATATAGGTACTAGCTTTGTATCAAATCATGAGTCCCCTCCAACGTTTAGTCAAACCTCAATTAAACGACAAACAATTGTTGCTTTCTAGTTTTCTACATTATTCGGTTTATAAGTTAGCAAGAAAATATGTTGTGAAAATAAGCTAAATAATTGTCATCGCAGGGTCTCGAAGCAAATTTGCCTTAGACTTCAACAATTGAAATAGTTACAATATGCTTGGGTTAAGTAAACTATTATTTTTTACTCACCGCGCACATGATTGAATTCACACTCAAAACCAGCCACATCTCTTCGCTAGTTTCATATCCAAAAAACGTTTGTTTAGTGTTGAACGCCAAATAAATGTTAAAGCTTAAAAAAAGGATAAACACTATCCAAGATGCAAATATTGCAAGAAGTTGAGCACCAAATAACTTACAAATAGTTTTATTGGCTTTTTGCATTTTTATAAATAAAAGTTTAGCTTCTTTAATTTTATATTCGTCTTTTATGAAGTTATTTGATTTTATAATTTGGCTATGCATCACTAATAAAAGTACTATCAAATATGTTATTGACGATATATGATAGTGGAAATTGACCCATGGAGATGATGTATACTGTATTATATACATGATACTTTGGTGCTGATATTCTCTTGATTGGTAATCTTTATAAAGTGCATAAGCAACCAGTGAATTAAAAATATAATATACTATTATAACTTTAGTTATATTTGCGTTATATTCAAAAGGAAATCCAAGATAACCATGTAATTTTTTCCAAAAATTGTGTCTTAAATAGGTTGTCATTACCAATCCAATATTCAAGCCGCCGATTAATTTTTCCATGCGGGACAAATGATTCAAACTCGAATGAAGGGCAATATCGTCTAAAAGGCTACGACCGCACAAGACTAGTAAAATGATTAAAGTTAAAATAGGTTTTCCATAATATAAAAGTCCAATATTTGTATAATTTTTTGGTGCAATAGATAACATGTTCATATATTCAATAAATATCTTGTGAAATGTTCCCAGTCTAAAATATTGAGCGAGGAGCATTTTAGATTGTGAAACGTTTTGTATGGTAGTTGAGAGATGACTGATAATAGACGTATCATTAAGCGAATTGTTTTTAATCGACCTAATTGTTAAATGACCAATAATTAATTGGCCCATTGTAAAGTATAATCTATTGTAGCACAAAAATAGTCTTGTCTCAAAATTAAATATAAAACTTAAAATGACATTATGTTGGAAATTCATGTTAAATTTATTTTTGAAGAGTAAATTTCATAATAATAAATTGACAGTTACTAATTTAGTAACTTTTTTAGTTACAAATATTTATGGTTCCCAATTCTCAAAAGCTGGCGACTACCAATCCTTTTCCTATAATTTTGTCTTGGGGTTTTATATTTAATTTTGAGACAGTATAGTATGGAAAAAATACACCGTAAAACAAAACAGTCTATGAATGATAATAATAGATAAATCTGCACTGATACTTCATAACAGTAGGTTATAGGTACGGTTATCACCAAGTTAAGAGTTGAACCTAGCACGGTAGAGGCATAACCAATTTTATTGGTCCGCTTTACACAAATGGTACCCTCAAAATTCCATAGGCCGATGAATAGATTTTGCTTTGGTGTCGAAGATCTGAATATGTATATGTTGACGACCTTATCATAGTATCAGAATAGTATGAGTCACACTTGTAGCTATAGCATCTACAATAAGTATGTATTTGATATTTTAGGATAGTTCATTTTTCGGCTGAAACGAGCGGAATGTAATTTTTCATTTACGATACATACCTTGGGCGTGTGGCTGCCTTTATATTAGGGTATAACACCAAATCCTGACAAGATTTCCAAATTCCTCCAAAATGTTGAAAAGCTACTTGCTTCTTTATATTTCGAAGGCTCAATTAGAATAGGCCCCTTGCATCAAATTTTTTTATTGCTGATTTCGATAGTCCATGAAAAATAAGTCAACACGTGTTTTTTCTTTTTCTTGTTAGTCAAAAATTGACGGAAATACAACGCTTTGAAATGTCCTTCCGACGTCATAACTTAGGTATAAAGCCCGGGACACATCTATCATACATTCTTCCGATCCGACTCCGATCATACAATCAGGGTCCTTATTCTTGGAACAGAGAGCAGTGTTCCCAGATGTTCTCCTGGGAACGCTGCTCGCCTATTCCAAGAATAAGGACCTTGATTGTATGATCGGAGTCGGATCGGATGAATGTATGATAGATGTATCCCGGCCTTAATACGTTGTGAGTTGTGACGTCGCACATGCTCAGTATATCTATATATAAAAAACTTAATATTTGTATAACTTCCGGAATAATCATATTTGGGCGGAATAAAAATAAAGTAACGATTTTTTTTCGATTTCCTACAGTTTGCAATAAACAATAATCAATTTAATTTTCCATGCAAGTACCCTATTCTCTAAGTTCAAATTGAAATAATAATTAACGTAGTTATCTGTTTCGCTGTTCAAGCCAGCGATAAAGGTCAAAATATAATCTAAGAATTATTATACGGACCCCCCTCTATAGTCATCAGTTATCTTTACCGAAGGCGGTCCGAATGAAATAATTACGCAACCGGAAGAGTTACAAGATTCCTGACCCTTTATATAAACTCATAAATCTAAACACCAAACGACATTAATTACAAGGCTAACTTGTTTAATTGTGTACACGCGCTGTCGGCGTTTTTGAATAGCGGAAACGGAAACGCAATTCTTGCGACATTACTCCGATAAATACTAATTTGGACATGCAGATGCAGGGGTCATTCGGAGATAACCGTTCCTAGAAATAGAGGCGATGAACTTAAACTCACGCGGAGATTTATGGTGGGATTGAATACTATTCAAACAGATTACAATGAAAGGAAGAGGCAATTTAAAAATTAAAAATTACACTTACATTTAGTAGTAGAATCGGCAGTTGATTCATAATAAGATAGTAGAGAACAGTTGAAATTGGCAGTTATTTGAGTCTCCTCCAAAAAGTTATTTTCATTATTTCAGCCTCGGGTCCAAACTGAATTCACGATTTAATTGACTTTATTAACAAGTTAAGAGCCAGTGTAGTGAAATTAATGACAATTATGATAGTAAGAACATATAAGATAAGAAGACTCTTATTTGAAATTAATTGCAATGACCATTGAATAAATTGTGTAATGTTGACCTGGAATCTGGAATTTGAAAAATAATATATTTCTGGTTAATTATATGATCCTTAGTAAAAGTTTTAATCATTAAAAGTAGTGAAAAGTTTTAATTAAAATGTTTTCGTACATGAAGTAAGATTGTTGTCTAAATTGCTGATTTTGTGAGTGAAAGTTAAATGAATTAGAATTATTAAAAGGTTTTAATTAAAATAATGTTTGTAATAATTAATCTGACTATGTTCATGATTATAAATAACTGTTTTGTATAAGTTTGTCAGGAAATGACTTAGGGGTTTGAAAATTTATAATTAAAGGTGATGGTAGATTTATTTAAAATATATATCGAATCCATTTAGTATTGTGTAGAAGACTAAATGATTTTGGTTATGTTCAGACTTGTAAAATATTAAATTTCTTTTCACATTTTTTAAGGTCTAAAAAAGCAACCACGACAGCAAAAATCAATCCAATGCATTTTATTTAATTTTGCACTAGTGGAAAAAAGCCCTTAATTTGACATTGCAAGGGATGCCGCACTCAGCGATTTTAAAAATAGCATGAGTCAGTACGCAATGAGCCACAGAACGAGAAGGTGCGTGTCGTGTTCGTTTTTTAACGCCTTTTTCGTTTTTTATGAAGCCTGTGCGCTCAGATACCTTAAAATCGTTGTACTCAATAACCAGCCTGTGTCTGGTACTCTTGTTTTGACCCCCTCGAAGTAATAGTGCTCATTAAATCACGTTTAAGTTAAATTCAAAATTCCGGTGTTTCATTTTCCTAGATACAGTCCACTAACGCATTTCTTCCTTTTATCTATGCTTTAACGCAAAGCCTGAAATTCAGCGATCGCTTTATAGTTGAAGAAACGGGAAAGCGGTGTTGCCGATCCAGTGCAGCATAAACAGGTTATAAGATATTGAGATCGTCGAAGTAGGGCTTTATAGAAAGAATTCAGAATTCGAAAAATAAAGGAAGAATCTTTAAGGATGTTGAAGATTGAAAAGTATTGTGGTGAATTGAAATAGCAAACAAAATTAGTTTTATTACTTTGCAAATTCGCCTTTGATTATTTAAGTAAAATAAATTTTAATTGTGTAAACCTTACTACAGTTGTTTCTCTCATTTGTGAATAGAAAACCTCTACAATTTTATTAGTAGCTGCCCAAGGAAATAAACACCATCAATAAAACCGCTCGTCATTAACCATCTAAATAATTAAAGAGTACTTGGCCGGACAGCTACATTATTTTTAGTTAGCTGTGTTAGCACTAATATGAAATGTCATAAATGTCTAATCTACCATAACCCCTAACCTGACATTACATATTTTTTCTCTTGGTTTTTGATTGATATTGATAGGAGCTGCTTTATTTTCGAATTTTCTACACGAATATTCAAAATTATGGAAATGCCGATGTCATTAAACACGAAATTCCTAATTAGGGTTTTCTTACGTTATGTTCAGAGTTTAGAAAAAATCTTGATACATAAATAGGTCGTTCAACGGCTACAGTCAGCGCCTCTTCACTGTCCCGTTAAACACAGCCATTTTAAGCCGTTATAATGGGGACATTCACCATATTTGAATTTCATTGTTTTATTATTTTTAATCAGTTGTATTAACCAAAATAAAAATACCCTTGCTTCCAGTTGGGTTTAAAATGTCCTAATTTTGTTTAAAATAATTTTCGGAAATGCTGTTTTCATCCCACATATTTAAACGTGCTGGAATGGCGCCATTGTATGACGTATATACACTTTCCGACCAATGAGAATCGTTCACAATAGCTCTGGCGCATATCTCATATGCTTTCCTTGTCTAAGCTGAAGAGTGACAATGATGAAACTCCTCATTCGTTATTTGCATCTTGTTCGTTTAACGCGGTCAACATAACCTCTTGACAGTTAGACAGTGCAACGTTGCCAAACTGAGTGTCGTGATTCCTTAATACTAACATGACGTGGCATGAATCCTTTTTTCTACGAGCGTGCATTTTTTATTACTTTCCCGCACGCATCTTAGTTCCCGAAAATGTCACTTTCCCGCACTAGTGCGCGATTTTGTTTTTCCCGCACTAGTGCGGGAAAATTCTATTCCCGCACTAGTGCGGGAAAGTGGCGGTTCAGAAGAAGTGTCAGTTTTGTTAATTAATCAAACATTTTATCTATTTCGTCTGCCCTACATTTTGGCTAGATATACTATTATGCGCTCATAAACTATTTTAAAATATTCCTATTTTCTATTTTAATCCATATTAATCTAATTTGTGAGATATTTCAAAAAATGTTATAATTTTTTTTGACATGTTTGACTTTTTGGTTCCTTTGAGGCGGGGCAGTTCTTTTTACCTTAGAAATTTTGTTTATTGTAACATCAAATCGATTTAATACATAATATTTTTCAATCATTCTTGAAAGTAAACGTAAAAATATAAAAATAAGTAATTTGTAATTAAATTTCTTTAATAATATATCGCTTTGAATTAAGTTTTTGTTTTTATATTTAAAACTCGCTCGTAGAAAAAATAATGTTCCTAACTCATGCGGAAAGTGATACTTTCCCACACGCGACTGCCTTTGACCCCGAACGACGCGAAGCGTTAGGAAAATAACTATTTCAACACCAGAAAAACTGTTGTTCTACAACTAAACCCACTTACAATTTAAAAATTACATTAATTTTATAACTGTAGTCCAAAATATACAAAAAAAAACTATATAATACAAGGATAAGAACGAGGTTTCTAGAGGCAATCTTGTAAATCAACAATGACAACGGCAATCTGACAACGTACTTATTTGCAGTATATTTTTGCTAGTTGTAGGGACTGACGTCATATTCGGCGGGTTTTCTGCGGCGTTTGAAATACTGCTGAATTTATATTTTTTATTAAAATTTAACGACAACTTAAATGTTCCCCAAAATAGCGCTATTAGACTTAGTTTGTGTACTAGAATTAGAAAAAATAAATAAAAAAAAAACACTCAATATCCCCATTGCGGTCGTAGGTTGAGTATAGTAGATAAAGCGATGCGGCCCTTAAAGAAATTCTATTTGTGCGGTGTGTTGGATACAATATCCCACTATATTGGTTGGCCATGTGCAACTATGCACCTGACGTGACAACTTCATATTTTTGCTAGTATTGTCAAGTCTTGAAAGATGTTAGAACATGAGCATGTCGCTCCTCATTTTCTCAAGCTAATATTCCATGTATAAGTTAAATGCAGGTTTCGTACCTCATTTGAAAGCTCTACCTTCTGGGTATCTTTCCAGTATGAAATCTATTCATATTAATATATGTTACAATTTAGTGGAAGTGCGAAGGCTTTCATTTTACCCCATGTGCGAGTTGCATCCCACACGGTGCGTACCTTATATACAAGGTGTCAATTTGAAAACTTACAATAGCTATATCTGAGTAACCAAAAAAAAAAAAACAATTTCTATAATAGGGAGGGGGAACCAAAATGATGTAATAACCAACCTGTTTTTACTTACCCTGTCAGCCCCATCCACCCTAACTAAATAATCTTAGATAGCAACCCCCTACTTGTGATACCTTATCTGAAAGCTCTTAAACAATGCTTTTCAATGGTACCCTACAAGCTAGGATTCAATGTGACCGTTTTTGGTTTATTGGATACATAAAACTTCATTCAATTAAATTAAAATTATTTTTATTTTTTTCCAGGTTCCCAAAACAACGAATAAACAAAAAATAATACAAGCCTAAAATGTTAAGGCCTCAAGATTAACGCTACGATAGTACCTAATAAAAATGTTTTTAAATGTTTATTAAATTAATAGTCAAAAATTCAATTCACATTTGAATGGTTTTATTTTGACAATGGGCTCTTTCACTCAAATTTAAATACGTAATTTAAGTATAAAATCCCAAAGGAGGGACTATTTTAGGCATATATACCAAAAAAAAAAGTTCTACATGGTTAAATAAGTTTTTTACAGGCACTTGAATCTAGCGAAATTCAAACTTATTTAAAACGCGCCGATTTGCTGACGTCACATAAATATTCTTGATTTCGCTTATGTTGTTGCAAGGAGCTGACCGGCTCTGCTGTGTTGCGCTCTGTAAAGATACGTAAAGGTTCGAATGCGCTGTTGTCGGTTGTGACTAAATGAAGTGCAGCGTAAAATAAAGAAATAAAACTAAACATAAAAAATTGTATTAAATGTAAGTGAGAACAGGTTGGTTATTACATCATTTTGTTTCCCCCTCCCTATTATAGAAATTGTTTTCATAGTTTTTTTTTTTAGTTACTCAGATATAGTCATTGTAAGTTTTCAAATTTAACCCCTGTATATTCCTAATAACCTAGGTCCCTAATATTGACTATTGAGGCAGAATAATGAGGAAAATGCATAAAATTTTATTTAGATGCAAAATGTATTTAAAGTGAAGCAAAATACTCTAGAAGTATATTTCCATATTCAAATCCTCTTTATACCGAACCACTAATAAAGAATTAAATATTGAATATCACTTTCACGACCGTTGTCCGCTATGATGAAATTTGACGATGCCAGAAACCAACCGCGTTTTTTTGGGTTTTATAACTTTTTGACAGAAATATTATATTTTTTATTCGTAATAAGTGTTTTTTTAGCCATATTTTTGAAAAATATCTAATGTCACATAATATGGGACATTAATTTTTCATTAAAATATACCACCTGTCACAATAGTGTCACGTGTTATTTTGGATAACGCATCACATTTTATAATGTAAATTAAACTAATAGGTATAATTTTTTCGATTATTTATATTGCAAAAAAACTAAGAAAACCTTTCTATAAGAAAAACCTCGAGAAAAACGAACTAAACAAAGAC